GATGTTTCCTGTCGGCTCAATTTTTGAGTGGACTTTGCTGTTCCGATGAGCATGAACGGTATACGAGTGGAGCGACTGAGCGGAGCGCACACGCATAGAGCGGGATAATACGCAGAGCGTCACACCACGTGAAAGTGAATCATGAGCGGTGAACTAATTTTCGGCAGGCGAAATTTCGGTGCATCTCTAATTATTGGCGACATCAGAAATGGATATTATATAATAGATGCTTTTTTGAACATTTTAGCAATTTAAAAATATGAAAAAATGATTTTTTTACACGGCACCCCTGCTCTCGACAGACGGCAGCCCGGTTGGGAAACATTGAACTAGTGTGTCACCTGACCGTCACTCAGAATCCTCTCCCGCAGTTGCAGCATCGAGAGCGGCCAAGGCCTCTGCCACCATTGAGTCTGTGACGCTCACACAATCGATCTCTTTCTCTCTCTCTTGCGCTCCTCTCACGATCGAGGGTCCTTCCTTTTCTCTGTCCTCTACCATGAGATTTGTGTCTGCTGAGGAGAGGCTCGTACTGCTGGTGTGTATGTCCACAGACAGCACACTCTCCTCATCGGCCGTGTCCGGAGTAACGGCCAGCCTGCTCTTCCTGTCCCCATCTTCATCCTCCTGTCCATAGGGATATCCATCTGATCCCTCTGTCCCGTCTGTTATCCCTCCGCCGCCCAGCCCAGAGTCTCGAAATCTGTCCTCTCGCTTGCCCGGTTCCGTTCCCAACAACGAATCGTTCTGTATGGGTGGGTTGGTGCGTAAGGTGGGGGCGGCTTTTATGGGTGTCCCCTTGCCCTCGGGCTGGAGGATGTAAAGACTCGGGTCACCCTCTGCTGGGCTCGATCGGATCTGCTCGCCTGGAATGTTAGCATGGAGCCGGTTGATGTGGTTGTTGTCTATGTCGAGTTTGGTCGGACTGGGTTGGTTGCTGTATGCCAGGTTGTGGAAGCCCTGTTTCTTGTGAATGTGGTCCACCTCCTCTGGGAATCTGTGAGATTGATACAGACAGCTGCTGGTGGGGTCCCGCTTCTGACCAGGAACTTCTACAGGAGCTGAGGGGTCATAGATGTAACTGCAACAGAGAGGGGGTTGAGGAAAGGGTTTAATGAAATGAACTTCTGGTGGCCTTTTTGGTGGAAATTAATATTATAACCCGGTTAAGATTCAAATAAAGGTCAAATAACCCAGACATATTACAAATCAAATAACACCATAGCAAAGCTAGTGGTCAACCAATACATTGGCCTTGATGATATTTGCATTTTTTAATTATCACAAAGTTTTTCTGTTTGGCTGATAAGTGTCAGAACAGGACCTTTATTTTGTCAGCGCTTAAGAATGCCAGTTCTTGAGCACAGATACACAGGAGCTCCCATTCTTCATTAGTTTACTGTAAAAAAATACTATAATAGGATTACAGAATCATAAAGTTGCTCTGTAAAGTATTAAAGGGTTTATTTTGTATATTTAAAAAAAAAGTAATTTTTTAAATATTGATTCATTTTCATAATGAAAAATAAATTGAATTTCAACAATTGTTATGCATGTTGTTTACTATCAATTAACAGTGTGATATGATATTTTCCAGCATCCCCACAAGCTTACAGACGAGAATGGATAATTATCATATACTGTATATCAGCATTATATTATCTATCGGCCACCCTGTTCTCTAATGATATCAGCATTGGCAATCAAATAAACACTTATAGTTCTACCACTAATCATTCAACCACTAAACACACTGATGTACATTTGTAGGCCCATCCAGGTTAGTATTACCCAGGTTCCTTTTTTCCATTGGCTTTTGGATTACTCCAGAAAATAAATGTATGAATTTTTAAGTCTAAATACAATAGCCAGAGGAAAAAAGCTAAAGCTAGGCTAAAAATGAATGACACTGTTGTGATTGCATGACCTCAATGTGACCAAGCTAATATTCTGACAACTTATTTCAATCTTTAAAATCTACAAGTTGGACATTTTGAGTTAGAATAGTTTGCAACAGGAAGATTATAAACACAGTGAGGTTGTAATAGCAGAATAGAGCAGAGTAGATGAGTTTTCCTGCTCGCAATCACTGTAATCCCATTTAGTCATTTGTTAGTAGGGTGTATTTTATGTAGAATGAAATGTGAAAATATCTTGAGTTTGTGTCAGACTGCATTTATTTATTTATTTTTAACCAAAAACCCATTCACTTTAGGATGATGGAAGTTCAAAAATTCTACTTGTTTCTGGGTTTTACAGTTTTTCCTCAAATGATTTGACACATTTCTTCAAACTTAGGTCACTGCTTTCAAAACAGTTAACATAATGATCTGAACACTTTGTAATTATCCTAAACAAATTGTTAGTTAAACAAATTAGAAATCACATGCATAATGTTCTCAAAACACTGTGCACAATGTTTAAGCAAAATGTTTTCACAATAGTTCATACAGCCAACCAAAGCTTTAATATATTAGGAAAAGACAACTGCAACTTTATAAATTGGTTTTACACAAATCACAAAAATGCATTTACCATTTTTCCAAATGCAACAAAACTCTTTCATTTGCTAAATTCTCAGTTGCACTTGATATGTTTTCAATTAGCTCCAAATTGACTGTTGAGTAATTCAAACAAAAGAAATGCAAATTTCCTAATTGTTTAAACATTTATCTCAATTACAACAATTATAAAAGAGGAAAAGGGAAAAGAAAAAAAGGCAAAGAATAAGAACAAGAATGAGAAGGTGAAAAGGAAGTGTAGTGAGAGGGAGAAGAACGGTGGAAGAGGTAGAAGGAGATGAAGGGACAGGAGGACAGGGTGTAAGAAGAGGAGAAGGAGCAAGAAGAGTTAAGGATGTAGGAAGAGGAGAAGAGGGAAGAGTAGAGGGAGAAGAGATGGGTGGATTGGAGGGGGATGGTATAGTGAAAAAGAAGAAAATGTAAGAAGACATGAACAAAAAGGAAGGGGACTGCAGGGTGGAAGAAGAGGTAGAGCGTACAGATGGGTTTCAAATAAAATCAGAGCCACCCTTGTTGACCATGTTATATCATTTCATTATATCATGGTCTTTCATTGAGAGAAGGCAGCCAGAGAATTCAGCTAAATATAAAATATAACATTTCAGAGGGAAAACCAATAAGTAACTATACCATTCTGGTTCTATGAGTCTAGTCTAGAGTCTTGTCTATTTCTAGTTCTAGTTCTCTACTGTAACTGGCCCTACTTGTTGGCCCTACATTCAGGTGGACGAAAAAGAATGCACGATATTTTCAAATGCACAAAAACATGCTATTGTTGACATGGTGGTCCAGAACAACACCAACAATGCCTCAAAGAAATTCAGCAAAGAATAATACAGGACAATCAACCATTTCATGATAGTCACCATTGCAGTCCTATCACAATTGTATGTGTTCTAAGAAGAAATTCCATCCAGATGAAGCAAGTAAACAACGTGAAGAGCTCAGACAGATTGAAGGAGTTGTGGTTCCAATTGTTCAAGTATGTGCCTGCCACACAATTACTGTACTTTTACTACAAATACAAAGTTATGTACTTCATGGGCATTATGTATCCATATACTATTACACTCTGGAAAAACTCAGGTGTCTCTAAGCCTAGTGATGCGTCAAAGTGGGTACTTAAAGTTCAGCAACAGTTATAGTGTCAAGTTTACAAGCAATACCACTACTGTCAAACCACTGCAATATTGTACCTTCTGTTCTTTTTACTCTAGAGGACTTTGGAACTGGATAGCAGTGCAACTCATTATGAGTAGCTGTATGTTGATGAAGCTGGCTTCAGTCTCAACAAAAAACAGAGACAAGAATGGAATGTGATTGCCCATCATGCCACAGTCAATGTCCCTGGACAACCAGGAGGCAATGTCACTATGTGTGTCGCAATTTCAACCACTGGTGTTGTGGCACACAATGTTGTCTTGAGCCCATTCAACAGTGAAGGGCTCCTATATTTTTTAAACTCTCTCAATGAAATCCTCTTACCACAGGTCAATAAGGAGCAAATGAATCAAAATTTTGTAGTTTTTTGGGACAATGTCCAATTTCACCATTTAGCACTGGCGCGAGAGTGGGTTGAACATCACCCATCTTTCACCATATTCTCCTTTCCTGAATTTAGCTGAAGAGTTCTTCTCTTGAAAATAAAAAGTCATGACTTGTGAGAATATATGTTGTGATATAGATGAAATTCTCTGGCCAGATGTAATTTAGAGACATAATTAAAGTTAGTTAATTCAGTGATTGCAGTACATTTTATTTTTAACTTATTATTTTATACATTTATTATTTTGATCTATTTATTTAAAATATATAATTTCCTTTCTTTGTAGGAATCTCTTTGTAGCAGTTACAATCATTCAGAAGAATGTGTCAAATCGACACATTCCTGCCACACTCTATTAAACACATCTGAACCAGCTAATCAAGACCTTCAGGATCACTAGAAACTTCCAGACAGGTAAGCTGGAGCAGGTTGGTGCTAAACTCTACAGGAAGGTGGTCCTCCAGAATGGACATCCCTGTATTATATTTATATTGTAAAATCACTTTCAGAAACGTTGTTTTCTGACTGTGAAATAATCAGTAATTCAGTTCCGTTTTGATCACAGTCTAGACACATTTCTACCAGTTTCTTTGGTGTTTTCTATATAGCCGTTTGTGCAGACGGGCGGCATTATTTAAAAAAAATGTACATTATTTTGAATAATTTGAGTTTTTCCATGGCAGCCTATTTTTGTAGTATGATTGACTTCAGATTCAGTCACCCCATGTAAAACACCCCATGTAAAATCAAAATGTGGTTGGACTCTTTCTGTCAAAACTCTTCTGAATAATTATCTGCAATAAACAAATAATATTCATAAGTCTGTAAACAAACATTTTGTTATCCATTTATCCAGCCTCCAATCTTGACCATCATTCCTAATCGTCATCTATATAAATTCCCTCTGGTTGTCAATTTCATCATAATATATAAAATGCTGTTCCTCTTTTGGGTTCTACTGGCAACTGATGTGTGCAGGACATTTGAATGCACTTATAATTTGCATAGCACAGGCAAAGGCCCTTACTGACGAAAGCACAACCAGTGTAGCGAAACGACATTTGAAATGACAAACAGGTCTATGAGTTATAACATCATACTGTGTCCTCTTTCCCCTTTTAGGGATTTTTTTATTTTTTTTCAACTTATTACATAACACAGTATTTACATTTCTGTATTTACACCAAATTACACAACAAACAGGTATCAAATAGGGAAAGTGTGAATCCAACATAAGAATGAGAGACACAAATCCCAACTTGTGTGTGTGTGTGTGTGTGTGTGTGTGTGTGTGTGTGCCAAGTGAGCCTGATGCATTTATGTCAGACACTCCCTGCTGAGATCCTTCTGTTTTTCACTCCCCTTTTCCACTGAAAATCCACATGGAAAGAAAGAGGCATGCAGGTCATTCAGCCCAATGTCAACCTCAGGTGTTCATGTATTTATCTGTCTGTCCTTTGCATGTAACCTGTGTCATATTCCAAACATTTAGTGAATTTCATACAATGTGTTACATGAGATGAATTATATTAGCTTCATTATAAATTCTCCACGTTTATGCACCTCAGTTGAAATCCATTTCAGTTTAACAGTTTCGGGGTGTATAAAGTGGAATTTTACCCTTAGTAAACATTACCTCCATTAAACAACACACACTGCCTAGCAATGCGAGGCATTTTTGCCTGGTAAAAGTTGCAACAGAGTAGAATGCTAATGTTTATTAGCAGGATCTGACATAATCCAAGAAAAGCCTGGGAACTCGCATTCTATTCACCCTGAACAGGTGCCTGGATTATATACTGTTCCCAGGGGAATGTGTTTGAAAATGTGTATCTTTTCAGCTAATATTGCCCACAACCCTTTGCGCAATGTAAAAAGGAAGTATTGTGATGTTTAAACATTAAGGGTTTCTAATTCTGCTCCTGGAGGGCCACCTTTCTATAGATATTTACCCCGCTCCAAAGACCTGCCTAGATGTTTCTTGTGATTGTGAAGACCTTGATTATCTGGTTCAGGTGTGTTTGATTAGGTTTACAGCTAAACTTTAAATTTTTTGGCCCTGCAGAAGCAGCATTGGACACACTTGCAGTAGGTAAAAAGGGGTATTTCTTAATAATCACTTAGAATTATGTACTTTCTCCTCATCACCAGTGGATATAAATTAAAATGTGTGGGTGTTGTTTAACAGATTTGACACAAAGCCAATCAGACTACACACTAATGTTAAATGCCAAAAGAAAGCTTGTATTTGTAGTATGTGCATGAGGCAATTCATGCAGCTCAAACTAAGCCCAGAAATGTGACATTCTGAGCAATTAAAGGGCAGGTTAGAGAGTGTGAATATCTGTGTGTATTTACCGTGAAATAAACTCCCTGCATCAAAATAACCCACATAAACGTTGAAGTGAAAGATACAAACTAAAATAAAATGTATATTGACAGAGAACAGAGCAGTGCTGGCAGACTGAATCACAACCAAAAACTGGTCCAAGGTCAGCTTTAGAGAAACTACAGTCTGGCTGAGCTGGTGAACAACAGCAGTTATGTGAGAAATATCTAGGATCTTCAAGAAAGAATACTTGAGAATAAAGAATCTCTGCTATTTATACCGTCCGTCTTACCTTTTTATCATCCTACAGCAACTGCAACCCATCTGGACAGTTGTGTAGAAAACCTGTGGAAAAGCAAATCAGGTTTAGAGTGTGATTGTGTAAATATATACTTGAATAAAGTGAATTAGAGATTCCATGTAGACTATTCTGTGGAATGAAATGTTGAAATACGCAAGTTACATTTATTAAAAAGGTATTTGAAGAATCCAGAGCTGGGCTGCTGAATCGGTGCTTAGGAGAGTGAACATGATTTCAACAAAAGGCTATTCAGTAACTGTGCCAATTCTTCACCTCAGCTGTTGGAACATGAGGATGTGATCACGGTTATATCTGTGTAAATAGACCTGCTGACACGGGAACCGAGAAACTCAAAGAAATCTTATACTCAAGAATAAACCCTGTTTGCCAACAATTGTGAACCATCGCAGACCATCTTTACAAGTTGACCCAGGTATATTTCGCTTGTGCACACCAATCAAATGAACCAAAACTTGGGTCTGGGTTTTTTTTTCACCCTCTCAAGACAGCACACTCAATGTCAGACAGGCAGAGAAGTGTGCTGATTGGCTAATGTGTTCAGATTCTCTTGTGCCGTTTACAAAGACACAGGTATGATCTATCAGAACAACTATATGAATGATATCTGCCAGGCCTTAGAGACATTTTATTTGGTTTCATATTGACGTGGCATAGGGAGTTAACTTGACATATGAAATTGTCAGGTATGTGGCTTCAGGACAAAAGGACAGTCACACATGTGTTCGTGACATTCTGGATTACTCCTCACAGTGGCCAGTCAAATAAAATGCCATTAATACATCCTCATTTTGTGAAAAGCAACAAAGATGGATTGACCTTTCTACGGCCTGTCGTGCCATTTCAGGCTTTGGCATTTCTTGTGCTCTTTTTATGAGCAAGAAGCCTTGTAAATAATTGATAGTTCAGTCTGGGTAAAGATCCATATAATAGGACAAAGACACTCCCAGACTCCCTCTCTTTCTCCTGAGACAGAAAGCAGCATGGAAAACAGTCACCTCATGTGTCCCAATGTGTTAGAGACCAACAAACATATAAAGCTAAGAGAGTAATGCAGGAGAAACCACAATTACAATGTGTTAATTACAATTATTTCATTTCAGTTTTAGTAATTTAGTGATTGTCATTTTATTAGTTTATGCTTTTTATTATTTCTAATTATTTTAAATTTATTTTTATTTCAGCTTTAGAAATTTCAGTACTTACTGTAAACTTAACCGTTAGTTGGCAAGGCAACATTTCTAATTTTCCTTTAGTTATTTTTTTAATGTAATATTTATATATTTTTATTTCAATTAACCATGTTTTGTAAAACTTTTAATTTTAGTTAACAGTACTGATTTACACAACATTACCATATAATTATGTCTATCAAGGGTAAAAGCAATAATCTGAACCAGAATTGAATGCAATTAAATGTCTATAGTTTAGTATTAAGGAAGCAAGAACTACCTACATGACGTCATTCACTCTTGGCATCACATGTGCTTGAAACTAAGACAAATAAGAGAAAATGTAACAAGTATATCAAGTTAGGCAATATTTGTTGTACAGGTTTACTGACAAGCCAGTCACTGTGACAGAAAGGCAAATGGTTTAACAAGTGGAAAAATTCAAAACACACTGCACGTAGACTAGACATCAACATACACTCAAAATACATGCCAACAAACACTCTTTACTGTGAACAGAGTTGTTTTTTAGTCTATATGATGTCTGTATGTGAACGAAATCAAGAAAAACAATATATATACAGTATGTATATATATGATGAGAACAAGCCTTCTACCACTAACTTACACGTTGGTTTGATGTATATGTGACATTAATCCAATTTTAAATGCACTGTCATTCTATTTACTGTGTTACAAAGCTGCCCTAGTTACAAAATTTGCTAGGTGATTAGCAGCCAGATGTGGTGTGCAGCAGACACCTGTTTGACAGCAGGAGTATGACACTGGGCACCTGGCAACCTCTTTGTCATCTGCTAGGGATTATTGCATTTTACAGCAGTCAACATAGCACACAGTCTTCCTTTCCATAAATACAATGACAAAACAGTTTATTGTGTGGTTAATCTATAATGTGACAACACAATTATTATCAGAATATAAGAAATCACTAATGAACTGATGACCTGAATCAGGTGTGTATAAACATGAAACATGTGCTGGGGGCTACAGGAAAGTTGAGAAGCGCTGATTTAGTCCACTTAAACTTCAGACTAAATGACTGGAGAAGTCTGCCATATGTCACCAGAGAGAAGTCAGTCGGTAATTTCATTTGGTTATAGTTTTGCTAGTTTTATATTTTTATTTAGTTTTTTTAATATTTTTAGTTTTAATTTATTTTTATTCCAGATTTAGTATTTCAAATTAAACCTATTTCAGGTCAGTTTAGATGCCAAGGCAACATTTTAATTTACATCTTATTTTACTTCAGTTTTATTTCAATTAAGGAAACTTTTTTTAGTTTTAGATAACAGAAGAATAAAAATAATCACTAAAGGGGTAAAAAAAAAAAAATTGTGAAAATACTAAACAATTTTTTAAATTGGAGCTACGTGACTAGAGAAAACACCCTTTTGCCAAAACTTCAACACCCATAATGCACTTCTGATTTTGTCACCTCCCGTCTGTCAATCCAACGGTCCATGTGTGGGAATACAAAGATGTGTATGTTTGATTTGTAGTTTTTATCAAAAACCCTGGAACTGTAAAAAGCTTGCAGGATGATGCAAAGGTGCATTTTGTGGACTTGTGGACTTCTACGGACAAACAGTCAGTCATATCTTAGTGCAGGCAACACAGAGAAAGAGTATATATTGTTCATTTACAGTGGGTATAGAAAATAATCACCCCTCCCCCCCTTTAAAATAATCACATTTTGTTGCTTTGCAGCCTGAAATGAAGACAGACACATTTGTGACCCTGGACCACAAAACCAGTCTTAAGTCGCTGGGGTATATTTGTTGCAATAGCCAAAAATACATTGTATGGGTCAAAATTATGGATTTTTCTTTAATGCCAAAAATCATTAGGATATTAAGTAAAGATCATGTTCCATGAAGATATTTTGTAAATGTCCTACTGTAAATATATCAAAACTTAATTTTTGATTAGTAATATACATTGCTAAGAACTTCATTTGGACA